TGTGCATGGCCCGATGGGAAAACAACTCGGAAGCCAAACTACTCAAACGCGAGTTGACAAAAGGGGTTGCTAAATTAACATCTTATTTTTAGCAGGGCTTCCTTGCTTTATTCTATACAAGTACACTAGTGTTCAGAGAAAGGGGGACATGATTTGCATATCCCATGAGTAAAATTTACTGAAAAGCAACTTTTACGACTTAAGTACTACTAAAAGCAGATGAGAMGATATTTAATGTGTGATGTTGAATTCCAGTCCTCCCTCCTGARCCCACGGTAGAAATGACTAATCTCAGCCCATTTTAGTCCTTCTCAGCAATGCCATCTCTGCCCCCAAAGCTCAATAATCAAAATGGATAAAATATAATTTTTTTTTTCAATTAGAAAATTCTTTAAGATTCTCTATAAAATTGAGATATTCAAGTTTTCCCACAGTTCTTAAGTTAGGAAAACTTTAGCCTGATAATTTTTCATGGTCCTTCATTTGTAAGAATTACACACTCTCCTGAGTTTCATCAAACCTGAAAGTATAATTATTAAGAAGAACCTTTCCTCAATGACTCAGGTCATGGTCATACCCATAAATTGGAGGGGGGGGGGTGTAAAATAAAAGACAATGAAGAGTCACTCTAGGCCTTTGCCTTTATATAGGACAAATGACAGGGTTATATTAGATGATCTTCAAGTCCCTTTGGATTGATTTAAAGTWTTTAAGAATGCAACTTAAGTGAAATGTATAGATCTTTACAATGAAGCTACTCAAAATGACACTTCTGCTTAAGGTCATGTAGCTGGAATACCCATGCAGCTGAGTTAAATGAGGAGTACCAATCCGTTTTAAATGATTCTTTAAAAAAAAAAAAATTGTGTGTGTGTGTGTGCGCGCACGTGTGTGTGTGTGTGTGTATTTTTAGTTGTATATGGACTCAATCCTTTATTTGTTTTTATGTGGTGCTAGGATCGAACCCATGCCTCACACTTGCGAGGCAAGTGCTCTACCACTGAGAGCTACAASCCCAGCCCCTTAAATGATTCTTGGACTAAGGCCAGTCTTCTTAACTAGGACTGATTTTTTACCAGCACTTCCCCTTGAGTCAATTTCTCTTCTAGATCAAYATAGCTAACACAAAACTCACCACATAACTACAAGTGGTTTTTGTTGCATTACAACTGTAAGGTTAGGGAAACCAAAAAGTAAGACTGCCAAAGAGAATTAAGTTAGAATATCCACAATTTGAAGGGCTAGCTTAAACTTTATTATACAAAAAATGGAAAATTGAATTAGACTTGGTCAAAGGAAGAGATTCTGGCTATATCTAAATGAGTGAGGGTTCATTATATGCAAAGACAGAGAAATCAGAAGATCCTTGTGTGTGGGCACTTCCTAGACACCTACACAACAGGACATATACTCTGACCAAATTTTGCCAAAGTCTCTTTTTCTTGTCCAGTTGATCCTTCCTGCAAACAAACATACCTTACAAAGGAGGGAAAACCAAGTAGACAAGGAAAGGTGAAGAGGCACTAGGCATCTCTGGGTGTGAGGCACTCCACATGTCCTTACTTAAATTCTGAACAACCCTAAGGAGGTGGTGGTACTCAGTTTTACAGGAGAAATATCAGCTCACACCAACTACACACAACACCCCTATCTGGAGGCAGAAGACCATCAGATGCAAGGAATGGAAAGTGATCCTGTTTGTGCCACCTCTCCTGCAATGYCTGTGACTACAGGACCCTACCACCACCCTGCTCCACTCTCCTCCTACGTGAACCTTTCCTCTTGTCCAAGTCCAAGCAATTGTGCACTGCTGCAGGAGGCTCTCTTGATAACTCAGTTGACATGTCATACACCAAAAGCTACTCATTACGCTGGGATCAAGTTCAAATTCATTTCCTTGGCATTTAAGATTCCTCATGGTCTAACCCCACCCTAAAAATCTATTCCAAATTCCACTCCACAATGCTAAGTCTCCTTCTAGATCATTCTTGCCCACTAAAACACACTAGATGAACACTCCAGCGAGCTCACAACATTCAGGCCCCTTCCTCCCTTTCCTGCCCTCCCCCACATTTCATTGAGGTTTCCATCCCTGTGAATCAGGAAGGCAACCCCAAGTCCAGCTGCAGGGAGAGATGTAYACCTGATTAGCCCAGGGACAGTTCGCAGGAGCGGGGGCAGGATGAGGTTTGGATATTAGGTATCCCTTAAAAGCTCACGTGTGGAACAATGCAAAAAGGTTTAGAGAAGTGATTGGTCATGACAGCCTTAAACCAATCAGTGAATTAGTCCCCCTGATGGGATTAATTGAGTGGCAGCTGAAGGTAGGGACGGTGTGACTAGAGGAGGTAGGTCATTGGGAATGTGCCTTTTGAGTATATATTTGGTATTTGGTGAGTGGAATCTCTCTCCACTTCTTGATCATAATGTGAATCACTTCCCTCCGACACTCTTCCGCCATGTTGTTCTGCTTCACCTTCAGCCCTAAGGAATGGAGTCAGCCATCTAGGGACTGAGACCTCTGAAACCATAAGCCCCCACATAAACTATTCCTCCACTAAAATTGTTCTGGTCAGTCTTTTAGTCACAGCAGCGAAAAAGCCTTAGATGATTTGTTACATTCCTTGTTTGGGCACTATTCTGCCCATACAAGTTTAGCATCCCTAGAGCTAATGTAACTGGCTCTGGCATAATTACAGGTGAGGATCCACAGCTAAATGATCAATCTGCTTGGAAGCAGTGACACTGGAATGGCAGCACAGGACTGTGGTGGGAAAGCCTAGCTTTCTCCAGTATACACAATGGCTCCCAGCTCTTAAAATCACTTCCTGAACACGTGCCACTTCACAGGTGTATGAAGACCCGCAAGAGCAGTCACTGTCCCAAGGGTAACAAGAAAGGAATGTTTACAGTATCATGCACAAAAAGACCAGGCTCTGGGGGAAGACGACCTCTCCATAGGCATGGAGGAGGTCCTGCCCAGGATGGGCACAGGCAGAGCCCTCCAGCCCTCCTGATGGGAATCTTGCATTTGGTTTAGCATGSTGTTGTAGAGTTGGGTTTCTTGTTTGTTTGTTTCTGCTTTGGTTTCCACCCACTGTCTTAACACAAATCCCAAGGACTTAAAAAACAGAGATTACGTTTGTTTTTATTTTATTTCTTTTTATACCTGACAGTAAACCTAGTTATTTTAGTGAAAATTATAAATACTGAACATAGGCTAAATTGAAGTACCCAGAAAGATTATATTCTGACACCAGCAGCAGAGTATTTTTTTTTCCCAAAAAAATTAGCTCGCCCTTCACTTGTCAGGTGGAAGGCAGGAGAGCCCCCAGGCAGAGAACTGTTGGGGGGGGGGGGGCACACCGGTCAGCTCCTCTAAATGTAAAACACTATGGACCACTGCTTCTTTTATAAAATAGAAAAATGATACCATCATACTATTTTAGTAAACTATATTAATTGTTTTTAAAAGTAATCTTCTAAACTCTATTTTCACCAAAAATGTGCATTCTGACCATTTTATAAATCATAACTTAGCACAAGGATGGTGATATATTAAAGGAAGTGGATTGAGTTACAATGAGGAAAAAAATACTGAATTCAACATCTGCCATCAGTTCTTTACAAAGCTATAGTACGTTAGAGTTATATTCTAACCTAAGTAAACCCAGATAGTCACAAATCACAAAAATATGACTCATTAACAGGAGAGCAGTACACAGCCTTATCCCACATTAGCAGCTTACCAGATTCACCACCACCCTCTGCTCTATATGAAGCATGGAGCGGCCTGGATTCAGCACCATAGGCTGATAAACAAGGTAATGTGATCCCACCAAGGGAAGCACAAACTTACCAAGAACCAGTTGGCAAAACTGTTTATGCCAGGTGTGCTTACTTTTGAAGCTATGCAACTGAACTACTGCATTAGCTAATGAAATGAGTGTGAAAGARTAATTGTAGGAAATCTAAATAGAATGTTTTGAGAAAGCTTGGTAAAGTTAAAAAATAAATAAATCGCTAAAAAGCTTACTGTCAAAGTTAGTTGTGACAAGTTAAAATAAAAGGGAAATAATTATTAAGAATTTAGGATTCTGCTCCTGTAGACTGTAGTCTCAGGTGGCGGCCAAGACCGCAGCTGAGGGTTGGCCGCCACTATTGCCTCCACTACCACCACAAGGGATCAGGAGCCACGGCAAGATGTGGGTTTTTGGTTACAGATCCCTGATCTGGAATAGGGACAACCCCTATGGGGACAAGCTGGTCGGATACAACACAAACTACACCAGTCGCTTCTGGCAGGGTAGCACCAACCACTGCGGGGTCCCGGCAAGCCATGAAGAGTCGTGACTCTTGTTGAAGATCATCGGGTTGTGTATGGGATGTTGCTTACACACTGCCAGTAGGAAAAGAAGAAGAAATAAAAGCATACCTTATTTCGGAGAAAAAAAGCCAAAGAAACRTAACAGTCATTTTTTATCCAAAAGATCCCACAACAAAACCATTCCTAATTATCTTGATCCTGCCCCCCTGGAAGACACTGCTGAACAGATTTTTAATGCAGCTGGGCCAAGTGGAAGAAATATAGAGTATCTTTGTGAGCTTGCAAATTCTATTTGAAGACTTATATCAGAAGATGCACATGAGCATCTTTTCTCCTTGGAAAAATTAGTAAAGGAACATTTAGAAGAAAAACAGAACCTCAGTTGCATATAAAGATCTAATCATTAACTTATTCAAATAGAGCATTTAGTTTTCAAAGAATAAGTTCAGCACACAATGGCAATATTTTGGTTTACTTGAAGATCTTATTGTTTTTAATGTTATAGCCAGGATATCATCTAAATGCATAATTTAATTGCAAGTATCTTGAAACATATATTAGGAAGACTGAAATACAGAGAAAGAAAAATTCAAGTTTTAATAATATAATGATTTCCTAACTATATGATATTGAACACTTGGTCACACAAGTGAGTTCTTTAGAAATATACAAAGTACTCGCTTCAGCAGTACATACACTAAAATTGGAACAATACAGAGAAGATTAGCAGGGCCCCTGCACAAGAATAACAGGCAAATTTGTGAAGCATTCCATATTTTTAAAGAAGCAAAATAGAGAAAAATACAAAGACTTGGTTCGGTTCTTGTTTGTATCAGAGTAAAAATAATCTTGTTTCATTTCATAATACTAATTTGAGGTTATAGAGAATTAAGCCAAAAATCCAATATATTATAAGATTWAAAAAAAAAAAACACTAGGATCCTATACTCACAATGATTTAAAAAAAAAAAAAACTAGGATTCTATACTCACAATGATTTGAAACTCTTCCAATTCTTTCTTTAAAAGAAACTAAAAATGGGAAGAGTAGGCAAGGCACTGAGTATGGATTCCAGAGACGGATTCCTTTATTCGAAGACATGGCTTTCTACCTAAGGACTGCTGGACCAATGCATGTTTATGTATTTGTATTTCCTCTTCCATCTTCCTTTTCACCAACTCTGCAACCCACCACAGGCGCCATCTGGAGGAGAGTGGCCAGGCCCATTATCCACTTACAACATAATAAACACACATAATCCGGCTCCTCCAACTCGACACAACTCCCTCCTACTGTTGGCACCACCAAGCCACAGGGAAGAAGTTGTAAGAGGGTCTTGTCCCCTGAGGATTGCTAAATGCAAGTCCCTATTTTTGGAAATATGTATTAAAATATTTACCACAAATTGTCTAAACTTTGTTTCAAAATAATGAGGGAAGAGAAAGATACGGGGGTTTAGAGGAAATGGAATGGGCCAGGAGTTGATGGTTGTTGAGGCAGCTAAAGGGTCCAGGAGATTCATGGCACTGCTCTACTTCTGCCTGTCTGAAATTTTTATAAATAGCTAAAATAAAAAATACTGAATTATGCCAAACTGTTGATAGATGATATCTTAAGAATTCACTGACCGTTCTACCTAAGGACTGGTAGATCAATGCATGTTTATGTATTTATATTTCCTCTTCAACCTTCCTTTTAAAATACAAACAATATAAAATTCCACTAACATTTTATACTTAAAAAAACAAAACAAACAAAAAACTCACTGAAAGGATCCAGGGAAGAAGAATCCTAAGCCAGGACCATCCTAGGCTATTCTCCTAAGCCCATGGGAACGCTGTGACCCAACTCTCATTATTCCAGCTCTTCTTGGGCTGCTCCACTCAAGGCTGGGAAGCTTCGGAAAATTTATACCTTAGCCAATCCCAAAAAACCAAATGCCGAATGTTTTCTCTGATATAAGGAGGTTGATTCATAGTGGAGTAGGGAGGGGGAGCATGGGAGGAATAGACAAACTCTAGATAGGGCAGAGGGGTGGGAGGGGAGGGAGGGGGCATGGGGGTTAGAAATGTTGGTGGAATGTGATGGACATCATTATCCAAAGCGCATGTATGAAGACACGAATTGGTGTGAACATACTTTGTATACAAACAGAGATGTGAAAAATCTGTGCTCTATATGTGTAATATGAATTGAAATACATTCCGCTGTCATAAGAAACTAGCAGGCAGTGGTCCTCCTCAGGAGAGGGATGCCATAGTTCTGACTGATGACAGGTATTTTGACCTCTGCCTGAAGTCTGGCAGTCTGAAACAGCACTCCTGTCTGGTGGACCCTGGGAAACTTAACAGAATGATAACAACACCTAGAGGGGCAAAGGGTCTGATGGCCGTGTGCTTACTTTCAGCAAGTCCAGGAGGCAAGATCTGAAATTTTCCATTAGGGAGAATCTCAAATTAAGTAATAGAGGTGTGTGTGTGTGTGTGTGTGTGTGTGTGTGTTTGGGGAGGGTCTCCTTAAACTTTTTTTTCAACTGATTTGACTTAAGATTCTCCTAATGTGTAAAAGATCCATCAATCCCTTTAAAACTCTCTCACTGACTGAATTAAGTGGAGCACAGGATTTTCCCAGTGTGGTTTTAATTAGATACAATCAATTAAATTTTAAGAAGGAAAAAAATAAGATCTAAATCCAACATCAAAGTAAACAGAGCATTAACTCCCTGGAGTTAGTTCTGGCAAACTGGGGGAAGGGAGGAAGGGAGGGAAGGAAAGAAGGAGGCAGGCCTGTGGGTGTGGTGGAAACCCTCCAGGGTTCACACTGCTACATCAGTTCCAAGGCTCCCACCACTCCCTACTGGCCAGCCACCTCCCCAAGCCCAGCTTCCTCTCCAGACATGGCACCTGCTCATTCCTTAGGCCCACACCTTCCTTCAGGTCTCTACCTGTCACCTTCCCTTTAGGGATCCTTGGCCACGACTACCCTCCTGCCCACACACCCCACCTTACTGACCCTGTGGTTGGCCATCCACCTGCACTGGAACACAGCTCATGAGCACAGACTTTTGTCTGAGGGCAGGGCTTTTAACATGGCTTTCTTCAGTGCTGTATTTTTAACATTTCGACAGTTTCAGGCCCAAAGCAGATGTTCAACAAATTTACTGAAAGAAAAAAACAGCATGAWGATCTACTACCAAGGGGACCCATGAGATTTGCTCTCTGTGAACTCAGTATACGGTTCAGCTCAGCTAAACACATATAGGTATTATAGAGTTTCTAACAATGCCAGTGTACGTTTCAATCTCACTCATACTCTTGTCCTCTAGGCTTCTAAGGACTTGCCTTGTTTTTATCTTGATTTGATGTGTGAGAGTAATTTACCAGAATTAACAAAAACACTGAGGCAAGAGCAAAGGGATCAAACACAAACRGCCAGACACCAAGATGTGGGTAACTGACTTAAATTTCAGGCAAATAARGAAAAGCAAGAAGAAACATTCTCACCGTTACAAGAGTAACTTGAAATCATAAAAACTGGTTTCACTCCCCAATCTGAGGTGTAACAGATCCTAGTTTATATTTTATTTTTATAATAATATGAAAATCACCACCCAACCATAGCAACTATTCCTTGCTACAAAGCCAGACACTCTGATAATCRGTCTATCATGTAAAATGTTACTTAATTCTTAAAATAAATTTGGCAGAGATAATACTTTTTAAAAATATTACTTCTTCCCCGTTAGCTCCTTTATTTTTAATCCCACCTCTCCACCCCAAACCAGCAAAGCCCACAGCCTTGAGAGAAGGGTGTGACGAGGCAGAAGCCACAGTCCTGACTTGGGTTTCCAAGGCCTATGACAGAAAGATCTCTAGGTCCAGAAATACTGAAAAGAAATACTGAGAGAAATACTGCAAAAGAGGCAGAACACAGGCATGTCTTACCCACCCCACCTGTGTCCCAGCCCCCAAAGCCTGGAAAGGCAGTGAGGAAAAGAGAGCATGGCTGATACCGTCTGTATGTATTTTAACCACAGAACTGCAAATACGAAGAGGCTGCACAGTCTGTAAGAATGTTGGCTCATCCCTGAAATCTCACCAGCTGGAAATCCCTACTCCAGTGTAAGCTCTGGGGACCACAAACCAGGGACAGTACAGAAAATGTGCCAGGCATTTTAAGGAAACTGCTTACCTGGAGTAGACCCATTTCAACCATGCCAAGACCCTGTCCTGAGCCACAAGGGATACAGAATGAAGTGGGGCACAGAAACACTATTTACCTAGCACACGCTGCTCCCTAGTTCTAAAGTGGCTTAGTGTGATGAGTCCTTGGTAAAATTTTAGAGCAGGACCAAGGTGAATGGACAATTCTGTCTTCTCTGAAAAGGAACTTGTATCCTGCAAGGCCAGTCATTATAATGAAGAACACCCATGAAACATCACAATCCTCACTCTCTCACCCACCACAGTACAGAAATGATCCTCTCCTAAGTCTGGACTAACGCAGTAYGTTTAACTGGAACTTTAATTTTACATGTGATTTTCAAGCTACGGCCTCTACTGATGTAAGTTCATTCTGCTTTCATGTTCCCAAAGGCAGCGAATGGGGGAATAGAGGGTCTAATGTCTAATTGCTGTGCCATCACTGTGCACAGCATGAACTTCTCCTGCCGCAACTGCAACTCCCAAGGGAAGATCTCAAACTTCCCCACCAGACAACAACTCCTTGAAGCAGGAAAATGCACATGCATTTTCATTTTTAATATAAATTTTGGAGAGACCACTGAATGAAAAAACAACCTGCTTTTGGTTTTTAGTAGCAATGTGGCATGCTTAACATGTCCTGTAACTATCCCTTGAAATTCATGTACCTTTCTAATGTTAACCACATACTGTGAAAATGAAACATATTCCACCTATATGGAATATGATGTTTATAAGTCCAATAATGGAACACGTGTCACCAAGAACTCTGCAATCATCTTCTGTACTTTCTTATTTAGACATTAGTTCTCATTGATATTACTGAGTTAAGTTACAGCAAGTGTTTTCAATCATAAAGCTACTTTCTAGAATACAAACACACATACACACACACACACACACACACACACACACACACACACACCTTTGTGCATATGAGTCCTAGATGGATCAAATTAAGATTTATCTAATTTAGGGAACACACCTATTTTTTCCTCTGACTTTTGACACATTTGTCTTTTTACTTCCTTAAGATTTCTAAATGGGCAAAAAGGAAAGCTGAAGCTGCTGACATTCAAATCATCAAAATTAGGTACAGGTATATACCACACTAGTAAAACAAAAATCTAGAAATCATAAATTATCTGAATTATAAATTAAACAGGATTCACTTACATAGTAATGCCCTGACTTAAAAATCATCCTCATTATATAACCACTTCAGAACCACAATACAAAGCAAATTAATTTGGACTGACTAATGTGACCTACAATGATACCAATAGATAGGTAGGTAGGTAGATAGATAGATAGATAGATAGATAGATAGATAGCAGGCAGGCATGTTTTCTGCCCAACTTAAAAAGCAACTGGGAAAGACTGGGGTTGAAGCTCAGTGATAAGTACCTGCCTAGCATGTGTGAGGGCCTGGGTTCGATCTTCAGCACCACATAAAAATAAATAAGTAAAATAAAGGTACTGAGTCTACCTACAACTTAAAAAAAAAATCAAAAAGCAACAGGACAGTGATATCACCAGCCACAGCAACATTACTGCTAAAATGAYCTGAGCCTCTAA